CATGAAATCAGCCAATTTAGATTTAATTAACTATGTACCAAAAAGCCTTCCTATATTAGTGGGCTTATTATTAGAAGGCAATACCTTCCCTATTGCTAAACGTCTCATTACAAAACGAAGACTTCCTTTTATCATTAGGACCACGAAAATATCAAACCAAAGAAAATTCCCATATTCTTCTACCATTGCAACTTTTTGGATTTTAGGACTTGCACACAAGGTACTAGAAAATTATTTATTTTTCTAGTTATCTTTCTTGTGCTTGAATTTTATGCTTTGTGTGTTGATAAATTCATTCTCCATTATTTGAATCATATGAATACTTATCTGTTTCATTTTCACACCAACGTATACATAATTGAATTTATGCATATTATACTTTCATGTTATTACCCCCCTTTAGGTATTTATTTAAACCACATTGCTAATGTACTGGATTGAACATTACATATCACTTTCTCCTATTTCCTAAGAAGTCTAATTTTATCAAGCATTTACTTCATTTAGAGTGTGTTTGATTGGCATGAAAAATATCATTTAGAAAAGAAAATATTTTCCTTCTTTTGAGAAAAAACAAGAACCATCTCCACCTAAGAAAAAATATTTTTCTTAAAACTAAGGAAAATTAGGCATATTTTCAAATGTTGGAAAATGTTTTCCATGGAAAAAAATAGCAATCAAACACCCCAAGTAGGAATTTAGGTGGAAAATTGATATTTTCCATGGAAAATAAATGTAATCGAACACATTTTGATCCTTTCCCGTGTCTATTTTGCCGTATGAGTGTTTGCTACGTAATAAGTTGTCTCCTCAAAGACAAATAAGTAATTAAATAAATACTTATATGTATTTATCGACTAATATGTATATAGAGAAATATAAATGTCTTATTGGGAAGTCATCTCAATTGATTTCTACACACTGTTATTTTAATCTAATCTTTCCAGTAAGTATAATTACTTCCATTTTATTTTTCAAAAATATTAGTTTAGAAGATAACTTTTTCTTATTAAATTAGGTTGTTAGAAATTCTTTAGAATAGATATAATGCTCGTCAACCAGTATAGTTTTTAAGAGTGTCAAACATGGCCCTAGCCAATTTGGGCTTTGCTTTATGTATCATTTGAAACATTTTATACAAATAGGCTTTTGATAGGTGTGGTATCTTTTAATTATGGGAGACATTAAATAAATGATGCAAGTGTGATCCAAGACTATTGATTTCGTATTTGACGTGGTGGCAGCATGGAAATTCAAATTAATTGTTTAGTATATGTAGATAAGATATTCTTCACGCATTTAAGTTTATAACTTGCGAGATGTTGATAACTTTGAGATAATATATTATCCATTTAATATAAAAATAACAACTAATGATGAGTTTGGAGAAGTTTCATTTGTGATTGATAATTGAATTAGGACTTTCAACACGTTGATTTCGTGGGCGGATAGAGACATTTTCACTTGTTATCCTAAAAATAATTGCTAAGGATTCCAAGTAAGTAAACCTCCACTTATTTTTATGCGCACGTTACATGATTAAATGTATCAACGTGTTATCTAAATTGCCCTTATGTGAACCTGATGTTTAATTATTATGTTTTATGTCATGAATGTTTCATGCATAAATCATGCACATCTATGCATCAACAAGCATACATGAAGTTTTAAGGAATAAAATGATTTCCAAATGTCATGATTGAACGAACGTTTAAAGTTATGTATCCCGAATATTTTTGTTACAAGATGTATGTCTATGCTATGAAGGTGTGAGTGGGAAGTGGGGCGTGGGAGATCGGCGTACTCGACCAATGTTCAATGATGAATGTTTAATGTTAATTTTAACTGCTTTGCAGTTGAATGATAATGTTAATATTAACCGTTTTGCGATACTACCGATAGGACTCGATCGAGTTCCAAGTAATAATTGCCCACTGCATTCTGATTGGCTATAGGCGATACATCAAGTGAATTCACAACGCCAATGTTATGTTTTTAAATAAATGAAAGGATGGGGATACATATTGAGAAATGCCTTTTGTTTGCAAGTAACTCATATGCATATCATGAGCATGCATCATATGCATGAGGTTTGTGTTGGATATTGGTTAAATAAATTGAGAATTGAAAATCGATTAAAGTTCGTATCGAATTCGGCCAAATACTCAAAAGCTCGACTCAATCCGTTTAGGCAAAATTGTTTGCCACTTCGCCGCTTCGGGGCGCACAAACGGGGATCGACTTGCCCGGTCAGGTCGCGAGGGTCGAGGGGGCAACGCCCCCGAAAGAAAATTTTGATTTCTCTGCATGTATTGAAGGGTATATTTGGTATTTCGAAAACCAATATCGGATGAATGAGAAATTACGAAAAAGACCTCAACCATTAGTGAATAGACACCTTTTCATAAAGGTGCATTGTTTGGAAAGGGTGCATGGTTTGGCCTCAACCATTTCGTCCACACCCCTTCATGGTCTATAAATAGGACCCTTTGGGTGTCCTATTCCTCACAGTTTGATATGCAAAACGTCTCTCATCCTCTCTTCTATCCAAAATCAAAATCATTCATTTATTTTGATTTTCTTTCATTTCATCATTGGAGTACATAAACCTAAATTTGGTTCGTTGTACTTGTGTTTTGGAGTGCTACAAACACAAGTGTAGCCGTTGTATCTTGGGAGTCGATTGCCGAAATCCGTAGGCACCGTTGCGGGGCAAATTCGACTTAAGGACAAAGAGTCCAACTCTTGCCTCGGCTTTGTCCCTATCTTTATACTTATTTTTTGGCGTCTCTATTCACAAAATTTTTCCAACAGTTTGCTCACTGAGCGTTAACTTATTCCACGTTATCCCTCGCCATTTTCAGATGATGAATGCAAGATGACGACTTGTGGTGTCACGGACTCAGTACTATCATATTTCAGATGATTAACAAGTACACAAGCACAATTAAAACAAACAAAATCACTTAAAAGACACGTTATGTTAGACACCTTGCCTTTATAGCTCAAGATTAAAAACATAGCGTCAAATTCATGAATTACTTCAAAGCTATAATGCACAAGTCAAATTCTCGCATATTCAATGCAACCGGGTGTGTGTGTGGAGAGTTAAGCGCAACGCTGTACAATAATAAATTGACCCAATTCCCGACCTTAAAAGTTAAATATTTCCTTGCTTCGCTCGTGGGATTCACACACCCCAAACTTGTTTTCTTTTCTCTTCCCAAAGTGTATTCTAAAATTGATTTTTCAATACTAATTTCTTACACCGCTCAAGTTTGGTTAAATTTCACTATTGCAGTTCAACATATCAACAGATGAGGATTCTCCTTATTTTTGACTGCTTCAACCTCCCAGAATCAACCAAGTTACTAACCTCTCATCAAAGGTCTAATCCTCTAAAACGAGTGTTCGGGGCTTAATCAGGGTATGTGATATCAAATTTCTTCTTTTTTTTTCAAACATAAATTTATTCTTTAAACACCCTTTGTGTGGACGTCACTCCCTTAAACTTTGTAAATGACCCCTGTAGCGAGTTTTAGGCCGATGACTCCCAAATCAGACGACTTTAGGGCACCAGATTTTAAACCCTTACAGGCTTAATCACTCGAGTCATAAAGGCTACGAAGAGACGATTCACAATGAGGTTATTAAAGTTGTCCTCATTGGGATCTTTTTTTTATGCGATGAATAGTGCAATGCCCCTTATTAAACACCAATTCTCGAAAATTGACCTCTAACTTAAGGTTTTTACCCAATTTTCATCCTATTAGTCTCAGAAATCCACACAAAATTTAGCACACACGGAATCCACATTTATCTCCAAGTTTCCCTACAGCAGCTTAATCTACCAAACATCCTATATTTGGTTTAAAGGTAATATGATGTTCAAAGGTTGTTTAGGTTTAGCATCTAAGTTCTCTAATCCAACCTATAAACATGAATCAACCTACTCATGCATAACGCCACAATCAACTCACGTGCAAAAATAATTTTCGATTTACATAAATAAGCAAAAATCTAACTCAAGCACATAACTTATCCATAACCCATAAATCAACGCATGTTCTCAATTACAAAAATCAATATCGGCAATACTGTCTAACTCACACAAGCATGCAAAACACAAAATAATTTTTATTTTTTTTTTTAATAGTGCACCCTAATAAGAAAATTAAAAAAAATTGCACACAAATCACACAAAATACACAAAATAAAAAAATATGTAGGCAATTAGAAAATTTATGATACACCCCCAAACTTAAACTAAACATTGTCCCCAATGTAAAATTAAAAGAAAAGGAGGAAAACTTTACTGAATTGTCTGAATTGCCAATGATGGTTTGGTGCTATGATGCTGGACTTGATTGATACTTCTTCTAGTTTCTTCCCCAAACTTGATATTTATCCAGTTACTCTTCGTCAATTGGTTTGATTGTTCCACGATGTCAAGTTTCTAAAAATTCAAAATGTAGATATTAAATTCATGGAACAAGTGTTACTTATCTCGAACATCTAATAACCAACTAGATTGCTCAAAGACCTAAGGGAGACGAGGTAGGGCTGATGAATTCCTATATAAAAAAATTGAAATGAAATAAACTCTCCTATAATTCAAAACAATTAAAATAAAATAAGTGAAAAGGTAAGAACGCTTGGGTTGCCTCCCAAGAGGCGCTTCTTTATAGTCAGTAGCTTGACTCAACCGCAACGCCTACGGTGGATCCTCAAGTGGCACATTTCTCTTGTCTCTGAACTTTATCTTTGGCTTTGTATTCTCCTTCATTGTAAGATGGTGAACAAACTTATGCTATTTTGACCCTGGTATGGCTTTCAATACCTCTTTTGGTTTGGCAATGTTTGGAGGTTTCAAACGCCTATCTACATAGCTCTTTTTTTTTTTTTTGTCAGGTGGGTCAGCTTCTTGAGTTAAGATGAAATCCACTGCCTTCTTCATTTCTAAGTCATTACCATCAGTAGATGCATCCCTTATTGAGTAATTAATTTCCATGTATTGCACCATCCATGTATTGCACCAACGGATCATAAAATAATTCCCTTTTTTCTCCATTTCCTGCAATTACTTCAGCTAATTGGATCATTTTACAAGTGTCAACTTTACCTTTTTCTGGGGCTTCCTTTTCTTGATGGATATTGAAAGTTACTTGCTCTTCATTAACTCGTAGTGTCAACTTTCCTTCTTGCACATCAATCAATGCTCTTCCAGTAGCCAAGAAAGGTCGACCAATAATCAATGGTACTTTCTCATCCTCCTCCATGTCTAATACCACAAAGTCCACCGGAAAGATGAACTTATCAACCTTCACCAATACATCTTTAATAATGCCTTTGGGATATGTGATCGATCTGTCTGCCAGTTGCAAGGTAAGGGTTGTGGGATTTACTTTTCCAAGACCTAACTTTTTGAACACTGATAAGGGCATCAAGTTTATGCTAGCTCCAATGTCACATAGTGCCCTAGCAAATGTGATACCACCAATATTGCACGGGATGTTGATGCTGCCCAGATCTTTCAATTTGTGAGGGAGCTTCTTCTGAAGTATGGCACTACACTCCTCTGTCAACTTAACAGTCTCAAATTCCTCCAACTTTCTCTTCTTTGACATTACTTCCTTTAAGAACTTGGCATAGTTAGGCATTTGGGCCAAGGTTTCTGCAAAGGGAATGTTGATGTGGATTTTCTTGAAGACCTCTAGAAACTTTGCGAATTTTTCATCAAATTCCTTCTTCAAATACCTATGCGGGAATGGTAATGGGGGCTTCAAGATAGGTGGGTTGTCCGGAAATGAAATTGAGTAAGGCTTATAAATCTTCTTTGTTGCCTCTGCCTCAATTTTTTGCCCTTCAGTATGCTTTTCCCTTGCAAGAATGGGATCTGATATAGGTACCCCAACCTCTCTAAGCTTGCGTTCTTCAACTGCTTTACCACTTCTTAGGGTGATAGCATTGCAGTGTTCTCGTGGGTTAACCTCTGTGTCACTGGAAAATTGTCCTTTTTGTTGAAACTATATTGCAATTGCTATCTGACCAATCCGTACCTCTAAATTCTTCACTGTAGCCCCCAAGTTGGTCATATGTGTCTCAATGCTGTCAAGTCTTGCCTCATCTCTGTTGAACCTCGATCTGGTCTCTGAAATGAAGGTTCCTAAAATATCTTCTAGTCATGGCTTTCGCTCAAACGCTTGATTATTGAACCCCTGATAATAGTTGTTTCCTGAGTAGTTTCCTTTTTGATTGAAATTCCGATCGTTCACGTACTGAAATTGTTCATTCTCCCTTTCAACTTATTGGTATGCAGTGGATGTAGCCATAATAGATTCTGATTTCTTTTGTGATCCATGTGAAGTAAATACAGCTATTTGATTAGTAAGAGATGACATTTGAGCTACAAGGGCGGTAATAGGATCTACTTCATAAAGGCCAGCAACTTTCTTTGCACTTGAACGCTCACTCAGCCATTGATAGCTATTAGTAACTATCTCATCCAATAATGCATAAGCCTCATTTGGAGTTTTGGATAATAGTGCACTCCCTGCTGCAGAATCTACCACTATCCGTGTCTGTCCATTCAAACCGTTGTAGAAGGTTTGTATCTGCAACCAATCCAGGTAACCATGCTGAGGACATCTTCTGAATAGATCTTTATATCTCTCCCATGCCTCATAGAATGGTTCAAAGTCTAATTGTCGAAACTGTCCAATTTCACTCCGTAATTGCGCTGCCTTCGAAGGTGGAAAGAATTTTGTAAGAAACTTCTGCGCTAACCCCTCCCAAGTTGTGATGGATCCATACGGCAATGATTGGAACCATGCCTTGGCTTTGTCTCTTAGGGAAAAGGAATATAGGCGGAGTCGGATTGCATCTTCAGTAACGCCATTCATTTGGCGCCCTGTTCGGGTGAAAAATTCCTTCTGCGCGTCCTTCAGTATTTTTAGCAGAACTTTTTCGTCCGATATCCAATTGAGGTGATTCAAAGCTCGTTAGAAAGCTAACTCAAAGGGATACAAATTTTCTTCAGATATTATTCTCCGCTTCAATCATTTGCTATATCAAAAATGAGTCTCAATGTGAGGCTGAAATTTCAGAGTACAACTTTTCGATTGGAAATTGATTTGTGATTATATTTTGACTAAACTTGATCCCTTTGACATCTTTTTCCATCCAATTGACTCCTAGCGTGCTCGGATCTTCATTGCGAGGTTCAACACAACTTTTCAATAATTGTGCTCTAGTCCCCCAAACTTTGGATGTCTTGCAATTTGGCAATTTTTTCCAATTTCGCCAACTTTTGCTTATTTCTTTCAATTTCATCAACCTACGTTACAACATCAAAACACACAATAAAAAGCTCTAAAACACTCTCAAAAGTAACAAAATAACAAATTAGGTGGCATAAAGATTATGAGTGTAGAGCACTCATCAGTTATCCCTCGCCATTTTCAGATGATGAATGCAAGATGACGACTTGTGGTGTCACGGACTCAGTACTATCATATTTTAATTGTTGGATTCATTTTTTTTGTTTTTGTGATTAAAGTTGACATTCAATTTAATTTTTCTATATTTCGTTTTGAAATAAAGTGAACTTTTATTTTTATCGTCTTAGGATTTTATTAAGTACAAATCCATTTCCAAAAATGAAGTCAATGATGTTCATTTGATCAAGGAAAAATTTTAGATCGCTTCTGCATTTATGATTTTAAGAGGAAGTTAAATGATAATATCTCAAATTTTAGCTAATAAAAATTGGGGTGTTACATAAAAACTCTTCACTATTGAAATCCAAAGGATATAACTGAGCAAGACGTAGAAATTTACCTTTATCAAAAGCTACAAATGAATCTCTTGGACTTAAACACGAAATGCAAGTAAAAAGCTTAGTAGTTATTTATTATTTATGGAAAGCTATCATTCAACTCTTGCAAGATTGAGTCTAACACACGACAATACAAATCAACATAAAAGTGATGATATTAAGTCGCCTGCTGTGTTGCACGCCTAGGTTGACGTTTCACTACTACAATATCCTCCATATTGGGCACTAAAATATGTCTATCAACACAAAACTCAATCACCCTACTCAACAAAGTATCCCAACCATTGTCTCTCGGGCTCTACAGTGCACACTTAAACAAATTCAATAACCTCATAGCATTCTGAATATTCTGATCCTAAATTTGTAAGGCTTATGAAAAGTCATCTATAATTGCAAGAATTTCAAACGTAAAGTGGAGATTGAACATAAACTCAAAATCTTGCATAGTGTCAATCTGTCTAACGGCCATTGATTTTTTATCTGAATTTACACCATTTTCTGATATATTCTCAAAAACATCTATGATAGTATTAAACCTATTAATAAAACGAGTAATTATCAGTAGATGTGAGCCCTAACTAGTATCACGTGGGCGTGCTAAACTTATTTCTTGAAACTAACCAGCTCCATCGGAAAGTTTTTCAATATTAAGTTTCTCCAGAATATTAGAATGATGACTTGTTCGAAGAGCATCTACACACTTACACGATACACCAACCAAATTCACAATAGCAACAAGCATGTTGAAAAAAATCACCAAGCATACAATTCCTACGTGCCATAGAAACAACTGCCAACTGAAACTAGTGAGCAAAGCAATGAACATTCATAGCATGTAGGTTCTCTCTTAGAATTAAAACTTTCGAACCATTGAACTCACATGACATATTACTTGCTCTATCATAACCTTGACCTCTCAAACTAGATATGCTTAACCCATATGTAGAGAAAATTGCATCAATGGCATCCTTCAGCGATTGGGCACAAGTATTAATAACATGAGAAATGTCAAAAAACGCTCCTTTACTTGCCTACTTTTGCCAACAAATTTCAAAACAATTGTCATTTGTTCTTTCACAGAATTATTATGAGCCTTATCAACCAAAATTGAAAACATAGAATCACCTATGTCATTGACAATGGCCCTTGTCGTCTTTATGGCACAACAATTAATCAAATCCTTTTAGATGTTTGGCGAAGTTATTTGGTCATTTCCAAGAGCATTACTAAATAATACTTCTTTAACTTCCTTACAATAAGCTGCATACCACTTTAGTAGCTCAATAAGATTTCCTCTATTAAGAGACTCTTTCGATTCATCATGACCAAGAAATGACAATCCTTACATTAAGAGGAGTCTAGTACAATATAGCACCACAGTCAACCTAGTCCTACAACTTTGTTGTTGACTACTACTTTGGCTAGAAATAACATATGAGATACTTTGCTTTTGATTTTTTAAGTTGGTACGCTTTGCAAAAGCTTTATTATGTCCACTATCAAAGTGACCGACATGATATTTCGATGTCTTTTTATGTTTTCAATCTCTAAAGTCGGTCTTAGTAAATATATGTCCACCCTCTTGACCCTCTCTATAGGGTTTGAACAGATAGCAATGCAAACAATACGTCGCATCCTTCCCTATATTGTACTCCAATCAATAAAATTCGAAGAACTATTCTTTCCAAAAACGCCTATTATGATTTTCCTTCGATCTTCTTGAAAAGTCATGTCCATATGGTTGACAAGGACCTCTTCCCAAGTATGTCATCCTAACATCATCTCCGATATTAGGATCTTATGACTTGATAGGGAGTATATTCCTGGATCAGATACAAGATCATCTACATTGAATTGAGCCCGTGGCTCTTTATGTTATTTAATAACTCTTGTGTCCGACTAGAACCAGTGGCAAGACTAGATGCACAACTAGAAGTAGAAGAATTGGGTATGAACTTTCGATTCGGTTGAAAAATCATTCAATAATCTACAAAATGCCCCAATTTATTTTTCAATTAAAATTGATTAAAAAAAGTACCGAGTACACACGGGTTGAATTGAGTGGCAAACATCTTCACAGTTAAATTTTGTCACTTATCCAAATTTCCTAAACATAAATTTTCAAATTAATAATCATAACTCATAAAACATAAATTACATATCATAAATTACAATTCGCAAACATAAACATAAATTATTTATTATAAATCTTAATTCACAAACATGATTTCGTAAACATAAATTCTCAAATAAATAATCATAACTTATAAAACATAAATTACTATAAATTCCCAAATCAATAATCATAACATTCATTACTCAACATCAACAAGTCAAGTAGTCAACAAAATAGAACAAAAGAGAGAGAGAGAGAGAGAGAGAGAGTGAGAGTGAGAGTCACCAGTCACAAGCTCGAGCTCAAAGATTCCGAAATCTGAGACAGTGAGACCAGATCCAGAAGGCAAAAACAGTAGACGACAATCGACAACATAACACGTCTGACAACTCTTCTTCCTTGTAGCCTCGGTGCTGCCTTTTCTTCAATTTCAAATGGCAATTATAGAATGGAGTCTGGGCCGTCTGGACTGGAGAGTGGAGAATGGAAGAAAAGGGTTTGGCCTTTGCGGTTTCAAGATTTGGGCATTTGGATTCTTGGAATCGTTTTCAAAATAGAATAGATTAAAATAGAATAGATTTGATTATTTGGACCATTTGTTAATTCATTCACTTGGGAATTGGGCTAAACAAATAAGAGGCCCAATTTGTGATTTACTCAATTACTTACTTCAACCTAAACAAAAAAAAAAAAAAAAGGACATTTTTTTTTTCTTCGTTTTCCATCTTGAGCTGGCTCTGCAAGTCTGCAACTGCAACGCCTGTCTACTGTCGATTGCTACTTGGCAATTCTGAACATTCCAACGGAGCTAGCAAGCACAATCGCGCCACCTCGCCTAGTGATGGCTCCGCGCCTGTAAATCTTAATATTTTTGTAGCATAATTGTTACTTAGCTATTTTTTGGTTCTCATTATTTTCAAAATACTTTTTTCTCTCTCTTATTTTTAATCACGCATTCTTAAAAGAAATGTTATATGCAAACTTAAATTTTTTTCTTCTTTTTAACAACACATTCATCAATTTACTATTTTAAAATGCATTCTTAATTAAAAAAAAGACTCAAACAGTCTCTGAATTTTAAAGTTTAGCAAAACATTATTATTTGATTTCGTTAAAGACAACTTAGTGTATTCGATTGGGGTTTTTAAAGACCTTTTGAGATTTTAAAAGTTTCAGAAGGTGAGAAGGAATTATCAGAGTCACCACCTTATATATAAAAATTTTCTCAATGTTACTCTAGATTCATGTGAATTGTATTTTAAATGAAAGTCTTCAAATGTTTTTTTAAATTTTACAAAAGTCAATAAAAGTTTAAGATGAAAGTCTTTCATAGACTTTCATTAATTTCAACAAATTCATAAAATGTTCATAAAATTTATAGAAGTCATCAGTTAAGCCTATGTTCGGCCCCCATTATTTAATGTCATAATTTTTGGAATAATATATTTTTTAAAAATATGTGGTTAAAAAAATTGAAATATTTTTTATTTATGTATAATATTATTTTATTAAAAAAACGTATAATTATAAAGAGAAACGAAAGAATTATATTATAAATTTAATGGGCTCAAACGAAAGGTAATAAAACTTCATAAAAAGCTCGAAAGTTCCAATAGTTACGCCCATATAATGAATGGCAGGCATCGGGACATGTAATCCTAATTTTCTGCTCTGCACGTTGGTTTCTCACAGAAGCTGTTCTTCGTTTTCACTTGACCTTCCTTCCCCAGCAGCAACTAATCATCTTCTCTTTCGCTTCTTCTCTCTGGATGACTATGCACATCTGAAGAACCTAAAGTTCAGATTTTCTTCATATATGCAAACCTTTTGTGGTCTCATTCATGTTTTCGTGTGGAAAATAACCAGAGTAAACGGAACGGGTGTTGAGTAAATCCGTCATGACTTCAGATTCAGTATCTAATTTAAAGCCCGCACCAATTCCAACAGAGGAAGAGGAATTACCAAATTCTGCTGCTTCTCTTTTGCCCTTCGACACAGAATCTTCCTCCTTAATCTCCTCATCATCCAAGCAATCCACCAATAGAGTTCTATTCATTTGTCTAATTCTCTTCACGGCCATGGCTCTCTCTGCAGCTTTTGCCTTTGCCTTTCTATTTTTCTCGTCTGTTCCAGCTTCAGCTTCAGCTTCATCTTCATCTTCATCTTCATCATCAACTTCTCACTCTGTGGATGAAGTCTCAAGGCCGCTCACAAAGCTCAAACACCCAGTTGTTATATTAGTATCCTCAGATGGTTTTCGATTCGGGTACCAATTCAAGACCCACACCCCAAATATCAATAGATTGATTCAAAATGGTACTGAAGCCGATTTGGGTTTGATTCCAGTGTTTCCAACACTGACTTTCCCGAATCATTACTCAATCGTCACGGGTTTGTATCCTGCTTATCATGGGATAATTGATAACCATTTTGTCGATCCAGTCACCGGTTTGACCTTCACTATGGCCAGTCATGATCCCCACTGGTGGCTAGGGGAGCCGTTGTGGGAGACCGTGACGAATCATGGCTTGAAGGCTTCCACTTATTTCTGGCCCGGTTCCGAGGTAAAAAAAGGTTCTTGGAATTGTCCCAAGGATTATTGCATGTATTATAATGGTTCTGTGCCTTTTGAGGAGAGAGTTGATACTGTTTTGAGCTACTTTGATTTGCCTAATAGTGAGATTCCTGTGTTTATGACATTGTACTTTGAGGATCCTGATCATCAGGGTCATAAGGTTGGGCCTGATGATCCTCAGATTACTGAAGCTGTTGCTGGAATAGATAAAATGATTGGTAGATTAATTCATGGTTTAGAATCAAAAGGGGTTTTTGAGGATGTGAATATAATTATGGTGGGTGATCATGGGATGGTCGGTACGTGTGATAAAAAGCTAATCTTTCTGGATGATCTGGCTCAATGGATTGAGATTCCGAAGGAGTGGGTGCAATCATATAGTCCAGTGCTTGCGATTCGTCCACCATCCGATTCTCAACCGAAGGATATCGTGGCTAAGATAAGTGAGGGTTTGAAATCAGGAAAAGTAGATAATGGTCAGTATTTGAGAGTTTATCTAAAGGAGGAGCTTCCTATTAGACTGCATTATTCAGATAGTGATCGAATTCCACCAATTGTAGGCTTAATTGAAGAAGGGTTTAAGGTAGAACAGAAGAGATCTAAAAGGCAAGAATGTGGTGGATCACATGGATATGACAATGCATTTTTCTCCATGAGGACCATTTTTATTGCTCATGGACCTGCATTTGCTCGGGGAAGAAAGGTCCCATCTTTCGAGAATGTGCAGATCTACAACACGGTTACGGCCATCCTCAACATTACAGGAGCTCCTAACAATGGGACAGCGTCATTTGCACAGTCTATTCTTTTGCCAAGCCATTGAAAATTATATGGAGTGTTGACACTGAGATACCGAGCTGAACTGGATATCGAGTGAAAGCATATGCAATTATTTATTCTCCTGATGAGGTAATTCCTTATATCTCCATATTGATACAGGTTTTGTCGAGAAGTGAATATTACTAGAATTCAAGCAGATAACATTTTGATTATGCAAATATGAGCTGGAAGCAGTTTCACGAGCTAGTTCCTTGCTTTCAACTTATTATGTACCATGTGCTTCACATGAATGAATGAAATGCTCTTCGATTATAGATCTTGTAAATTACAAGTGATAATACTCGCGTTTCTGTTGTTGTAAAGTTCAGGTGCATAATTGGTTCCACTATCACATGATAATAGTGCTGAACTCTATGGCCTGTAGAGAAGCCTGGCTCTTTGACTGTAACACTATTTATGTATGATGTTTAAGTTTTTTCATGCTGCTTTAAGATTTGATTTAGACCTTTTTTGTTTATACAAGAGGAAAGAAATGATGCATTCATAGTCTAATTTTTGAATACTTTACCTGAGCGAGAATGGTCCATGATTCAACCAGTTTGTCTCGTGATTGACTCAGCTAGGCGCTTCTTGACTTCATTCCTCATCTCAATAGTATCACTGGATCCTGAAAGCATATTCGTTTCTTACCATTTCATTGAAATACTGGAATAGCTTTTTGAAATTAATGGAACTGTTTTGGAGTAAGTGAAATCATTGTTCCTGAATTTGTTATTTCAATGACCTTGACCACAGTATCATTTCAGGCTCCGGTCATTGCCTGTCAATTTTTGAGGTAGATGCTAATTTAGTGTTTCACCCTATTTAACATTTGAAACTCCTGAGATATCTTATCCCTACTTTGCAAAGGTAGCGTTTTTTATTTGAAAATTTGTTTGTAACATATAAAAACGTTGGACATCTGGATTTCTTTCTCTGTCGTGTCATCACTCCGTCTGTAAAAAGTTTGAACTAGAGGAAGGAATTTATAAGATTACAAGAGGAATAAATAACCAGTCGAAGCTCCCAAAGACGTGGTGCTTATAAGAGGACTGTATTATATATGTAAGCTGAGGTCACCACAATTCCTACACTCTCTTCATAATCAGGCAAATGCATGAGCTGATTGCTTTGAGTTCTTGTTTTTAACATCAGTAAAGCATGCTCGTACTGCACATGTTTCTATTAGGGATGGCAACGGCAGGGTCGGGGTTGCTATTCGTGTCCCTCGCCCTGTCGGTTACTTTTGTCTCCTTGCCTTGCTCCCATACCCAATTTAAGGCAGGGAAGGGGGCGAGGACCGCCCCATTTATCTTTTTATTTTTTAAAATTTTTACTTTCATTTTTTTCATGCCTTTAATTGGTGAAAATCATTACTTTTTTTTTTTTTTTTTTTTTGGTAGAACAATCAATGTTCATTTTGTACAAAAAGAATTATGATTATTTTCTTTTTGTGTGATAAAAAAAAATTATATTTTGATATGAAACGGGACAGCCCAAGCAAGGGCATTTCATCTGAAAGAGTCCTTCGATCCATTCATATCCATCTCTGGGACATATAGACCAGTTCATTTTCCTTCTTAAGGTTTTATACAAGTCCATTGGTAGCTAGCGGGTACCTGCCCTAGGCCAACGATCCCTGCTCCCCTGCCTCGTGGACTCCGACATCTTCCTCTGGTCATGTGCAACTACCAAATCTGAATGGACTTCATTGAGCACATGAGTAGCAAGCAATGCTGATTAGGTGCTGAAAAGAGAGAGGAGAAATCTTCCAATGTAATGAAATTGGTTTCTTCAATATTAGTGTCCCATTTTTTGAGCGTTGTTCTAAACATTGGATAGAGCTGACCGCTTTGGCTTTATAAAACTGAAAACAAAACCAAATTTTTTCATTGAGGTCGGTACCTAGCGGATTGCTCTTTTGGAAGAGCAAGCACGACACGAACGCGTATTGTTCGTATAGAATTTTATTAACAATTATGGTAGACTTGATCGAGGGAGTCTTGACCTCCAAATTTAGTTTTCAAGGAACTAAAACCTTCACTCGTCCACAAAAACCATCCATACGACGAACTACCCACCCATCCTCCCCTTGGAAGCCAACGACCTTGGGATAGTTAAGCATATTTTAGACATTTTTTAAAAGAAAACCGAACTTTTTAAATGAACAATTGCAACCCAAATCTCCTAAAACTTGATTTTTTTATTTTTTTTAAATATATATTTTAGACATATAAAAAATTGTTGGGCATTGTAGTCCACCCACAAGTCTATGTTTGGAGAAACATATTCGTAACTTATAATTAGTCAAAGTCAAACATCAATTTTAATCACACGCACAATTAGTACCTGCTTATTGTATACACAATTCATGAGACTTCGATGATTTTTTATAATTACTCGTAAACTTGTCTAAACATAAAGAGTTACGGATATACATTTTCTATCTCGTGCTTATAAACTATTACAGACATGCTCTAAATCCTTGAGCATCCAAGAAACATGTTTAGCTATAGCCCTTGGCCCTACGAAGTATCAATTCTAACATCATGATATTGGGATAGATCTAATTTTAAACAATGTAAAATTTAATGAAAATTCTAATAATCACGATCACTTCGGAGAGTAAAAGAAGGTGATTTTTTCTTTCCATATTTTTTATTTATTAGCAGAAAGTTAAATTTGTCATCCTGATTCATTTAACTACTATTTTACACAGTAAACAAAGATGAACAAATGTCTGATATTGCACATTTTTTAAGTTTGACAACTTTATATTATGCCTAATCAGTTGGAAGAGTTAATTGCCCAAATAGTTACTGAACTTTGTCAAAAGTTTTTAGGAGGCCACTAAACTTTAAAACTTCGCTAAATAGTCATAGAACTTTGCCAAAAGTTCTTAGGAGGTCATCGAATTTTAAAACTTTCCTAAATAGTCACTGAATTTTGCAAAAAATTCCTAAGATGCCACTCAACTTTATAAATTGGGACCCTATACATCACTAGTTTAGTGACTTCCTATAAACTTTTTGAAAAGTTCAATGACTATTCAAGGAGTTTTGAAATTCAGTGAACTCCTGGAGACTTTTGGCAAAGTTTAATGATTATTAGGGAAGTTTTAAAGTTTGGTGACTTGCTAGGAACTTTTGGCAAAGTTCAGTGACTATTTAGAAAATTAATTCCAATTGGAGCCTCATAAGGTTTTATTAATTGAAGCTGTCGAGAATACTAAAACCATTTTTTTCCAAATCTATACTAGTAAAATTGTTTAGCTTGTGACTTGTATTTTTGGTCAAATTTTCTATCAGGTGATTGTTGGACTAAATGTTAGTGAACAAGTACCGGATGGAAATATCGGATTTACACATATTGTATATGTAACATACCGTATATACAGCTTACTGTATATGCAACCTAGCTACTGAATTTGCACATACCGATTTTTGCATAAATCGTATATGCAGTGAACTTGGATACTATCCAAAATATAGCATATTAAATTACAATAAACTAAACAAATTAACCTACTTAATCAAAATATATCGGCTCTTAGATTACTCGTATATCTACTCAGTTTACTAATTGTGTAGGCTATGTTTGGTGTTGTACAACTCATTAAGTACATTAGACTTTCAATGATTCTCGAGTATTATACTTGAGAGACAATTTCACCTTTGTTTTTAGATAACTGTTGATTTGTATCTATCGGTGTTCTAGCCAAGCCAGTATCATCCTTATTGAAATTTTCTAAGATTTTTCCACATAATGTAACTGATTTAGAACAAATCCAAATGATGTTCTTGAAATTTTAATTCCAAATATAACATCAGCTATACCCATATCTTTAATATCAAATCTCAAATTTAACATATCTTTAGTGGATTTAATCATTTTATTGTCACTAACAATAATAAGCATGTCGTCAACGTAAAAACATAAAATAACATGACCATCTTTAGTATCTTTAATGTAAATACATTTATCACACTTATTAATTTTAAATCCACACTCCCTTAAGACTTTATCAAATTTTTCATATCATTATTTGGTGCTTGTTTCAAGGCATATAATAACTTCACTAATTTACAGACTTTCTTTTCTTGTTCTGGTTACGAAAACCTTTTGAATTGTTCCATATAGATTTCTTCCTCTAAATCTCCATTTAAAAAGACAGCTTTAACATTCATTTGATGTACTTCAAGATTTCATAAAGCAACAATCGCAAGTATCATCCTCGTCACTGGAGAATACGTATCAAAGTAATTAAGGCATTTCCTTTATTTATAACATTTTATTACTAATCTGGCCATATACTTTTCGATAGTTCCATATGCTTTCATATTTCTTTTGAAAATTCATTTGTAGCCTAGTGGTTTGCTTCCTGAAGGAAGATTTACTAGCTTCCATGTGTAATTTTGCAGTATGGAATCTATTTCACTTTTAATGGCATCTTTCCATTGAGGTCCTTCCGAAGAATTCACAGATTCTTGATTACTTTGAGGTCTACTTTCTAGCATTTAGGTCAGAAAATCAGGACAATAAGATTTTTCTGTCATTTCCCGTTTGTTACGTCTAACCTTAATCTCTTCTCTAGTTCTTGCTCATGACTATTTTCAGTCATAGTTTCATATGTTCGTTTAAAGGAGCTTACTTCTTCTTTAGACTTGTACAGAAATACATGTTCAAAAAATGAAGTATTTCTTGATTTCAATATCACGTTTTTGTATATGTTTGGGATTTTGGAATCATACACAAGAAACCGATAAGAACTACTATTATGTGTATAGTTAATAAAGATGCAATCTACCTTTTTTGGCATATCTTTACCTTCTTTGGTGTTAGAACAACCACTTTGGCAAGATACCCTCATACTCGTAAGTATTTATAAGAAGACTCTCTTTCTTTTTCATAACTCATAAAAGTTTTTTTTCCATTTTCTTTCGAGCACCTTATTTAAAAAGTAATTTGCTGGTAACACGGATTCCCCCCACATATTTTGAGGTAATCTAGAACGTACTAGCATTACATTTATCATTTCTTTTTAGGTGCGATTTTTTCGTTTAGCAACACCATTTTGCTATGAAGAATAGATGCAATGATTTTATGTATAATTCCATGTTATGCACAGAATTCAACAAATGTTGCTTCATACTCATCACCTCGATCATTTCGCAATACGTTAATTTTCTTATTAAGTTGATTTTCAACGTCATTCTTATAGATAACAAATTTCTCTATGATTTTGTTCTTGCTTTTAAGCAGATACACATAACAGTATTTTGTGCTATTATCGACAAAAGTTAGAAATACTTGTTGCCACGTTTTGTTTGTACAAGTTTTAAGTCACATACATCGCGTGTGAATTAAATCAAGTAGTTTTGTATTCCGTTCAATTGGTTTAAATGATGACCTTGTTAATTTTGTCTTAACACAAGTTTCGCACTTATGGTTGTACTCAATGTG